GGCATACGTTCAGCGGCCCTATACACATCCAACAACATTGGAGAGTTACTTTCGTGTCGTTTTTCTATCACTTACTTGCTACACTGTTAATTCTACACTTTATCGCTGGCTGGCACTATAGCCTTTATCAGTACCTGCTGCTTTAGGATCGTACATGTCGTAGAATCACTGAATCACTGCAGAAGGCACATTCTCCCCTCTCTTCCTCCTCCATTTTGGTACTTTGCTACGAGTTTTTTTCTTGAATTCTATTGTGCTTCTTTCCTTCTTTACCACAGAAGCTTTCTTTGGGCCCATGGTGGCATATTTAGCAGTTACAAGCACTAAAAACAATGGAATAATACAAAATATGTCGCATGTACACATGGAATTGTCCTCACTGGCTTGTAAACAATGGCACACTGCATGGAGTGGACGGGTGTTGCGGCTCAGGCTGTGCGGACACGTTCAGGACGAATGCCCTTAACCGAGTTCTTGGGCGTTAGCCGAGCCAATATTTTGACACAAAAATGTGCCGCTAACTGATTTTGCCATTAGCCGATGCCACCATTAACTGAGGGTCCACTGTATATTACATTGGAGAATTATACTTTATATTTTGCTAAACTGAGTTTAACAATACTAGTGGCAATTCTTTTGTGCAATCTTATTGTGTAAATCTCTGTGCATACACGTAAGTCCTAAAAGAGAGACTTCAGTGACAATATTTTACAGTTTATCTCTGATGAAATGTCTGAGAATAAGGTACAAATAGAGTTTTTAGATGAAGAAGTGTCTTGATTCATTATTTACTGATGAAGAGGAATGAATTGTCAGCTTCTTCAAATGACACAGATAGTGAAAATGAAACTGAACTGAAAAAATTCCACCCCTCAAACTGTGCATCAAAATATAGTACTTTGGTAAAATGTATATTTTCATTTTCATTTTTGCTTTCACTCCTTGTATCATTTGAATAAGGTGACAACTTGCTCTCTTCTTCATATAATTTTTTTTTTTAACATATCAGTCTCCCACTGACACAAGGTGACCCAAAAAAGAAAAACACTTTCACCATCATTCACAGATAATCACTGTTTCTGCAGAAGACCCCAGATATGACAGTTTAGATGTTACTCTAAACAGCCAATATCCCAAACCTCTTCTAAAGTGCAGGCATTGTACTTCCCACCTCCAAGACTTAAGTCCGGCTAACGGGTTTCCCTGAATTCCTTCATAAAATATTACCCTGCTCACACTCCAAGAGCTCATCAGGTTCCAAAATCCATTCGTCTCCGTTCACTCCTATCTAACACATTCACACATTCCTGCTGCATGTTCAGGCTCCTTGCTCACAGAACCTCTTTTACCCCCTCCCTTCATCCTTTCCTAGGACAACCCATACTTCTCCTCTCCTCTCTACAGATTTATACACCCTCCAAGTTTTTCCTGTTTTGCTCCAGCCTCTCTAAATGACTGAACCACTTCAACAATCCCTCTTCAACCCTCTGAATAATACTTTTAGTGACTCCACACCTCCTCCTAATTTCCACACTTCGAATTCCCTGCATAATATTTACACCACACACTACCCTTGGACAATACATCTCCACTGCCTCCAGCCTCCTCCTCGCAGCAGGATTCATTCTCTATTTCCTATATAAGAGTGTATAATATATTATGTATATAAATTGTTTTATTTTTTAATAGATATTTATTTTATTTATTTTTAAAAGTGATAGCCATCTCCCACCAAGGCAGGGTAACCAAAAACAAAAAAAGAAACACTTTTACTATCATTCAGTACTTTCACCATCATTGACACATAATCACTGTCTTTGCAGAGGAACTCAGTTACAACAGTTTAGATGTCACTCCAAACAGCCAATTTCCCAAACCCCTCCTTTAAAGTGTAGGCATTGTACTTCCCACCTCCAGGACTCAAGACCAGATAATAATCTAGAAATGCTGCTTGTTTACTGTATAATTCAGAGAAAATTTAGTTGTCAAAAGCATTTCACTTGTTCTAAATGAGATACTGAATTCGGTAATAAGATGTATCAACATCATGAAAGCTAATACTAAATGTGGACGTCTCTTCAAACAGCTTTGTGAGGGTAAGAACGCAGACCATGTGAGAATATTGCTTTATGCTAATGTAATGTCAAAGAGCAACTGTTTGAAAAGATTCATAGAACTACAGTGGTACCTCGGGATATGAACTTATTTCTTTCCAGAAGGCTGCTCGAGTGCCGATACCGAACGAATTTGTTCCCATAAGGAATAATGTAAATTAGATTAATCTGTTTCAGACCCCCAAAAATATACTTACAAAAGTGCTTACATAAAAACACTTACATAATTGTTTGAGTTTTGAGTTGTTTGTATCCCGAGGTACCACTGTATTTGATATTCTCAGTGACTTAAAACAGAATATGTTAAATAAGCAACTTCAGGAAGCAAGTATGACCCTTGTTGATTCGAAAGCCAAGATATTTGGCTTCATTACATATCTGGAATTATGTCAAAAGAATATTTCTGCAAACAGATTTATCCAGTTGTATTGGCTAAATAAGTGCAGGGTGAGTGCTGCTGCTGCTGCTGCTGCACTTGTCATTGTGGATCATTTGAAAATACTGACCTGTGTTTTTAATGGCAGATTTTCTGATCTTAAAGAAATAGATTTTCCATCTTGGCTAATTCAGCCATTGCTAGTGGATCCGTCTGAAGTGACCATGAAGTACCAAAACAAACTGTCTCATTTACAAAATGATGAGTCTTAAAACTTTATTAAAAGTAAAAGGAACCATAATGTGGCTTTGTGACGAGCCAACGACGATATACCCAAATTCATCTTATTTGGTAAGAATTGTTATTATTATCATTTCCCTCTTCATATTTGATGGAATGTGGTTTTAGTGCTGTAAATAATTTAACTTTGAAACTGACTTGATATCACAAAACTAGGAGACTAGAAACTTAAACTAAATTAATGCCTGGAATCAAAACCATATGTAGTAAACATGAAGCTCGAGGATCTCACTAACATGAGATTCTCAGTTTTGATGAGTCTAAACTTGAGGTTGGTAAGTTACTAAAATAAATGTAATTTTGCTGTATTGTATTTTTACCCAGTATTATATCTTTTAAACACTCAAATTTGTTTTTATATCAGGGGGACATCAAATTTTTTGAGGTATTGAGGTGGGGCATGATTCAAAAAAAAGGTGGGAACCACTGTTCTAGAGGATACATCTTTTGTCCTTTTGTCTCCTTGCTTACCTAAGCTCTCACCCCTTTTTCATTTTTTTTTTTTTGTTGCTCACTTCTCTACTCAGAACTTCATTGAATGCGTGCCACTACATCCTACCTTAAAATGCCAAGTTTTGATGTAGACTTTCTCATTCTCATATAAAATTTTACCCAAGGCATTTATCACTCTTCAGTTTTAATGTATCAGATGTAGTAGTTGAAGAATTTTGTGATTGAACCTTCACTTTCATGAAAATGGAAAAAAAAATATTGCAAGGGAAAAAACAGAGAATGGGAAACGTACATTTTTGATACTAAGTATACATAATGAAAAGTGTTGGAAAGGGTAGTAAAGTATTTAGTGTTGGTAGTTTTAATGCAGTCAAAGAAAAGGGTCATCAGGAATTTGGATGCATTTTATCCATAGTATTATTGGCATAGGTTATCAAAGCCAAATTCCATTACGTATTATATTTGAGCATTTGTATAATCGGAAGGTAATCTAACTGTGATGTCAACACAGTTGTGAAAAGATGGCAATTGAGTGAATAATGGTGAACGTGTTATCTTTTTTTAGGTTACCCTGCCTTGGCGGGAGATGACCATGGAGTTGAAAAAAAAATTGTATAGTGGAGAATATGTGAATTAGGACAGACGAATGAAGTTAGATTAGTGCATTGAAATAAAAATTATTAAATTAAGGGGCACATTGATTAAATTATTATTAGTATTATAATTATTTTAAACAACAGCCATTTCCCACAAGGCAGGGTGACCAAAAGAGAAGAAACGTAAAGTTTTTCTTCTTTTTAAATTTAGTAATTTATACACCAGAAGGGGTTATTAGCCCCATGCTGCCAAGATTTTAGTTGCTTCTTACAACATGCATGGCTTAAGGACGAAGGATTCTTCTCCACTTCCCCATGGAGAATTATTATTTTATTATTGTTATTATAATGTCAAGCACTAAACCCATGTGGGTCATGGGTTTAGTGCTTGACACTACAATAGTAGTGTGTTCCTAATAGCAAGAAACACACCACTCTCCAGCAAAGCTTTTCCAGCTGGTTACTATAAAAAAAACTGTATAACATTAAACTGAGTGAAGGTACAGAAAAGGCATATGCTGTATGCAGGTGACAAGATTATGAAAATGTGTATTAAAAATAAGCAGTGTCTTGGTGCATGTGACAAAAGTGTTTCAAGGTTGGGATTAATTACTAGATAACTAAATGTCATTTATTAGGAACCAGAACAAGAAGTTAGCATATGCAGAGAAGAATTTGCTTGAATCTAGGTATTTATTTAGCTTATTAAGGAAAATGTATTAATCTTAAATATGACCTCTATGTATGTCTTGTTATCTGTACATTTTTTCTTAAAATAGGGCAGATTATGTACAATAGCAATGTCTTATTCCAGTCAAACGTTTTTCTAAATTTTTACTGCTCGAAACTAAGCTTATTCATGAGAGGAGACCTAAGTTTCTATTCATTCATATCCTTTAATTATTCCAAACTACCAGTAAATGAGTGGAACAGGTGTGCAAACTTCACAGGAAACTAGAAGTCATTTTTATTATCCTGTTTTAAGGGAAACTTAATTCCTGAATTAAGTTTCTGGTAGTGTGTGTTAAATGCTTGAGCACTTGTTGATAAGTGAGGCATAGGATATCATTGTAGTTATAATTATATATCTGAACATATCATGTAGGAATCAACAGTGTGTGTATGTAAAATTTGTTTTATCTTTCTTTTGTTTATTTTTAGATTGTATCACCACACAATGACATGCCTGCCAATACAACCCCATGAACTTGATGAAGACAGCGAAGGGGAGCATGATTCTGAATGGGTCCGCCAGAAAACACAGATGATGATTGATGAATTTTCTGATGTGAATGAAGGTGAAAAGGAGCTAATGAAAATGTGGAATCTTCATGTTATGAAATATAAGTAAGTTTTGCCAAGTGTTTATTCTTGATAAAATGGAAAGGATAAATTGCTACTAATGTGTTTAGATGAAAGTTTAGATATAGAATAAAATAAATAATTTCAGTACTACATGGCTCCCAACTTATGGTGTTAATGTGTTCCAGAATATTAATTGTAAGTTGATTATTTGGTATTTAGAACCCATTTTTCTATAAACAATGTAAAATGAAATAGCACGTTTCCAAGCCAAAATATTCTCTAATTTTTTTCTAGGAAATTTTTATCCAATATTTCATATCCAGTGCTGTTTCTTTTCACTTACAGCTAAAGGGTAACAAAGCTAGGTGGGTTTGAGGGCAGGTGGTGCAGGTGTGAGAGTTGGTGGTGGGAGGTGAGTGGTGTGGGTGGGAGAGTTGGTGGTGGGAAGGTGAGTGGTGCAGGTGTGGAAGTTGGTGGTGGGAAGGTGATTGGTGTGGGCATGAGAGTAGGTGGTATGGGTGTTAGAGGGACATTGTTGTGTGGTGCAAAGCCTCGTATTGTGTGTGTCCAAGATGCAACTAGCAGTATTGAGCTGGGCCTCCTTCCTAAGCCCCCATAACCACCTACAGCTACTGACATACTAGCACAACGTAAATAATGAATCTACCATTCGTGATTGATCTTTACCAGTCAAATAGTTTTTTTTTTTTTTTAATATATTAGTCATTTCCCACCGAGGCATAAAATGTACATACAAGGAGTTTCATTGCATTTGGTTAAAAACTAAACAAGAAGAGTGTTATTTATAATTCATTCTTTAGAAAATAATAATTGTAGTTTGTCTAAATGTAAGAAGAGTGAGTCATTGTTCATAAGTATTAATTGGTTCCAAATTCCCCAGTGTTGTAAGTGCAAAACTTGTAACTTGGAACCTTGTAAGTGGGGCCCCTACTGTATTGGGGTAGAATGCTAGGAAACTGTTGATATTAGAAAAAAAAAAAGTTATGTAAGAAATTTAAAAATTGTACATAATGTTATTTGTTACAGTAAACAGTTAACCAAAATTAAAGGCATAAGCTGGTACAAGGGAAAAGTCTTCTTCATAGAAATTACTGTTTTGCACTGTTTGATGAGATTTTTTTTTTAAATCAATTATTCATGTATTTGCTCTCACACACACTTGAATTTTTAATCAATTTTATATCAGAGTTTTTGGCTAGAGCAATATGCTTATTGTTGTCTTGGTTGGAATAATGCAAGTTCAGCATTCTTTAAGAAAATAACTTGTGGAGTTTCCCTAACAGATAGGGAGGAAATCACTTTGATATTAGGAAAATAAAAATTTACAGGTGTTCACACACTCAGAAATTTGTACATTTGACCAAAATTTTAATATGCAATGGTGGTATGGTATTTCAACGTGAAAAAAAAATATACAGTAGTTCAAAGATGGGGGTACAAAAGTTTAGTTGCAAAGGAGGACTGAAGACATTTAGACTGCCTTCATTGGCTGATAGGAAAAAAATAGTTTAGATAGTCATTCAAGTTTGTCAAAGAATATGGAAGAATTGATAGGAAAGATTTTCTAGTACAGTCAAAAGGGAGAGCAAGGTCATAGTTATGAACTAAAAGTTGAGGTGTTGAAAGGACAGCAGAAAGTTTTTCTTAGCTAACAGCGTGGCATGTCAGTGGAATGGTTTACGAGGAGGTAGTTAATCGCTATACCCACTAGACTAAAAAATCACGATGACAGAACACTACAAGCGTATTATTATTATTATTATAATCAAAAAGAAGCGCTAAGCCACAAGGACTATACAGCACCACAAGCGTAGTTATTGCTTCTATAGCTACAGATAGCTAAACACACAGCATAGGTAATTACGAAGTCATAAATAATACATATTGGTGCATGAGGCTGAGAGCTTAAAACATTTTATTTGCCATTTTATGTATTAAAATTAATTTCATTACAGCTTTGTAGGTGACAGCCAGATCCCATTAGCGTGCTCAATGTTCTTGGAGAGTCACGGTACTGAACTCTTGCGTAAAAGTTTGTATCGGAACTTTGTCTTGCATATGGTCTCCTTGCATGACTTTGGCCTCATCGGGACTGGTGTTGTATACAAGTGTATCCTTCATTTACAAAATAAGTAAGTCACTTTTTGTTACATTATATAGACATGATATTATTAATGTGTTTTATGATCATTCTTCACATGAAATTATCTTTGCAGTTGAAAATCCTTTACATTTAAAGTGTTGCATTTCCTTTCACTAGGTCATTTCGTGTTTTAGTTTCATTCCTTGCTGTTTTATTCCATCTAATTTTACATATACATAGATATGCAAATTCATGTTCCTAGGTAAAGAAAAGTAGATATATTAAGGCTGTACTAGCAAATAAGAAATCAGATACAGTGGACCCCCGGTTAACGATTTTAATCCGTGCAAGAGGGCTCATCGTTATGCGAAATAATCGTTATGCGAATGAATTTTCCCCATAAGAAATAATGGAAATAAAATTAATCCGTGCAAGACGCCCAAAAGTATGAAAAAAAATTTTTTTTACCACATGAAATGTTAATTTTAATACACACAAACTGAAAAAGGCATGCACAATTAAATGACACTTACTTTTATTGAAGATCTGGTGATGATTGATGGGATGGGAGGAGGGAGAGAGTGTGTTAGTGTTTAGAAGGGGAATCCCCTTCCATTAGGACTTGAGGTAGTAAGTCCTTTTCTGGGGTTACTTCCTTCTCTTTTAATGCCACTAGGGCCAGCTTCAGAGTCACTGGACTTCTTTCGCACAAGATATCTGTCCATAGTGGCCTGTACCTCTCGTTCCTTTATGACTTGCCTAAAGTGTTTCACAACATTGTCAGTGTAATAATCACCAGCACGGCTTGCAATAGCTGTGTGAGGGTGATTTTCATCTATGAAGGTTTGCACTTCAAGCCACTTAGCACAGATTTCCTTTATCTTTGTAGTAGGCAACTTCTTCAATTTCTCTCTCCCCCTCCTCTGAACCAGTTTCCTCAGGTCTGGCCTCTTGCTCTTGAAGTTGATCTATCAGCTCATCAGTGGTTAGTTCTTCATTGTCCTCCTCCACCAACTCTTCCACATCCTCCCCACTAACCTCCAACCCCAAGGACTTTCCCAATGCCACAATGGATTCCTCAACTGGCACAGGATTCTCAGGGTTAGCCTCAAACCCTTCAAAATCCCTTTTGTCTACACATTCTGGCCACAGTTTTCTTCCAAGCAGAGTTCAAGGTCCTCTTTGTCACTTCCTCCCAAGCCTTACCTATAAGGTTTACACAATTGAGGATATTAAAGTGATCTCTCCAAAACTCTCTTAGAGTCAGTTGAGTTTCTGAGGTCATTACAAAGCACCTTTCAAACAGAGCTTTTGTGTACAGTTTCTTGAAGTTGGAAATAACCTGCTGGTCCATGGGCTGCAGGAGAGGAGTGGTATTAGGAGGCAAAAACTTCACCTTAATGAAGCTCATGTCCCCATAAAGTCGCTCTGCCACGTCTGTAGGATGACCAGGGGCATTGTCTAACACCAGGAGGCACTTAAGTTCTAATTTCTTTTCAGTTAGGTAATTTTTCACATTGGGGGCAAATGCATGGTGTAACCAGTTATAGAAAAATTCCCTAGTGACCCATGCCTTACTGTTTGCCCTCCACAGCACACACAAATTATCCTTGAGGACATTCTTTTGCCTGATACGCTCTGGGAGTTTCAGAGTGATACACTAATAAAGGCTTCACTTTGCAATCACCAGTAGCATTGGCACACATCAACAAAGTAAGCCTGTCTTTCATAGGCTTATGTCCTGGGAGTGCCTTTTCCTCCTGAGTAATGTAGGTCCTGCTTGGCATTTTCTTCCAGAACAGGCCTGTTTCATCACAATTAAAACACTTGTTCAGGTTTCAGTCCTTCAGTTTCTATGTACTCCTTGAATTCCTGCACATATTTTTCAGCTGCTTTGTGGTCCGAACTGGCAGCCTCACCATGCCTTATCACACTATGGATGCCACTACGCTTCTAAATCTCTCAAACCAACCTTTGCTGGCCTTAAATTCACTCACACATCACTAGTTGCAGGCATTTTTTTAATTAAATCCTCATGCAACTTCCTAGCCTTTTCACATATGATCGCTTGAGAGACGCTATCTCCTGCTATCTGTTTTTCATTTATCCACACCAATAAGAGTCTCTCAACATCTTCCATCAATTGCGATCTTGTTTCGAAAACACAGTTGAACCTTTGCAAGAACAGCTTCCTTGATTGTCTTTCTGGTGCCCACAATAGTAGCGATGGTTGATTGGGGTTTCTTGTACAGCTTGACTAGGTCGGCTATACGCACTCCACTTTCATACTTATCAATTATCTCTTTCTTCATCTCTATAGTAATTCTTACCCTTTGAGGTGTAGGGTTGGCACTAGAAGCTTTCTTGGGGCCCATGGTCACTTATTTTCCAGAAACAGCACCGAAAATACTGTAATAATACGAAATATTCCGAGTGTATGCTTGGATGTTACCGCGGAGGCTGGCTGGTAAACAATGGGACGGAGCGGCACATGTGAGGCTGGCTGAGGGCACATTGGACGCGTCTCGGACGAAAATCGGTATGCGGGTTTTTAATCGGTATGCGCGGCAAAAATTTTGCGATAAAAGTAATCGTTATGCGGAAAAATCGCTATGCGATGCCATCGTTATGCGGGGGTCCACTGTACTTGGTCTAAGGAATGTTTGCAATGATTTTTTGATAATTTGAAGGAAGAAAAGAGAAATAATTGATCACCTGCTAGAGAAAAAATACACATGGAAGTGAAGGAAACAACTTAAGAAAAAATGTCGAGGATAAGCAGCTTCTCGTGATACAATAAAAGCGGGTAATGGTATGAAGTAATTAAAAATGGCATGCTAGGCTTGGGAGCAAAGACTGCTCAAATCATAGCCAAGAAAAGTGCTATCAGAGACACTATTATTGGTATGGGAATACAGAAAAAAAGACATGGAGCAGACTGGGAGAAGAATGAACATAATAGTTGGGATGTATGGAAAAGGCTACCCATGATGGAAAGAATGTGCAAGGATTGGAGATTTATTAGACATAAGTTGTTACGAGGCATCACATGAAGGACTGCTAGGGATAGTGCTTACTGATCAAAGACTAGACATCTCATTATAAGAGAAATAAAATACTGAAACATGTAATTTTTTTTTTAATTGTGGGACATGCAAGAAAAGATAAGAGTGTGAACTAAAGAAAGGGGCCAGACCAAGGAGAAACGTGATATCTTGCAAACAAATTCCAGCCTACAACTGCACAAAACTTGACAAAAGAAACTTCTCAAGTCACAGCTCACACCATCACAACATGTAGACAAACAACATTTACAGCTCCCTCTTCCTTCCCCCACCACAGCCCCTTATTACCCCAACGCATTTTTCCCATATTTCCGATGTTGAACATCTAAGAAGCACTAAAGTTTTCTTGGAAAATCAGCATGTACTCTAAAGTTCATGTCTTATTAACCTTATGGATCTTCTTTCTTTCAACACATCGGCCGTATCCCACCGAGGTGGGTTGACCCAAAAGGAAAAACAAAAGTTTCTCCTTTTACACTTAGTAATGTATACAGGAGAAGGGGTTACTAGCCCCTTGCTCCCGGCATTTTAGTCGCCTCTTACAACACGCATGGCTTACGGAGGAAGAATTCTGTTCCACTTCCCCATGGAGATAAGAGGAAATAAACAAGAACAAGAACTAAAAAGAAAATAGAAGAAAACACAGAGGGATGTGTATATATAAGCTTGTACATGTATGTGTAGTGTGACCTAAGTGTAAGAAGAAGTAGCAAGATGTATATACCTGAAATCTTGCATGTTTATGAGACAAAAAAGACACCACCACTCCTACCATCATGTATAACAAATACAGGCTTTCGTTTTACACTCACTTGGCAGGACGGTAGTACCTCCCTGGGTGGTTGCTGTCCACCAACGTACTACCTAGGTAATAATAATAATAATAATTAGGTAGTAGGTTGGTAGACAGCAACCACCCAGGGAAGTACTACCGTCCTGCCAGATGACTGTGAAACAAAAACCTGTAACTGTTTTGCATGATGGTAGGATTGCTGGTTTCTTTTTCTGTCTCATAAACACGTAAGATAACAGGATATCTTGCTACCCCCTACTTACACTTTGGTCACACTTCATAGACACGCACATGCATATATATATATACATACATCTAGGTTTTTCTCCTTTTTCTAAATAGCTCTTGTTCTTTTTATTTCTTCTATTGTCCATGGGGAAGTGGAAAAGAATCTTTCCTCCGTAAGCCATGCGTGTCGTATGAGGCGACTAAAATGCCGGGAGCAATGGGCTAGTAACCCCTTCTCCTGTATACAATTACTAAAAAAGAGAAGAAGAAAAACTTTATAAAACTGGGTTGCTTAAATGTGCGTGGATGTAGTGCGGATGACAAGAAACAGATGATTGCTGATGTTATGAATGAAAAGAAGTTGGATGTCCTGGCCTAAGCGAAACAAAGCTGAAGGGGTAGGAGAGTTTCAGTGGGGGGAAAAAATGGGATTAAATCTGGAGTATCTGAGAGAGTTAGAGCAAAGAAAGGGGTAGCAGTAATGTTAAATGATCAGTTAGGGAAAAGGAGAAAGAGAATATGAATGTGTAAATTCAAGAAATTTTGTGGAATTTTAAAATAAAGGTTGGATGCGAGAAGTGGGTCATAATAAGCGTGTATGCACCTGGAGAAGAGAGGAATGCAGAGGAGAGAAAAGAGATTTTGGGAGATGTTAAGTGAATGTATAGGAGCCCTTTTAACCAAGTGAGAGAGTAATTGTGGTAGGGGACTTGAATGCTAAAGTAGGAGAAAAATTTTAGAGAGGGTTTTTGGTAGGTAAGTTTGGGGTGCCAGGTGTAAATGATAATGGGAGCTCTTTGATTGAACTTTGTATAGAAAGGGGTTTAGTTATAGGTAATACATATTTTAAGAAAAAGAGGATAAATAAGAAATACACGATATGATGTAGGGCGAAATGACAGTAGTTTTTTTGGGATTATGTATTGGTAGATAAAAGACTGTTGAGAGACTTCAGGATGTACA